ATATGCTGTTTTGTGTATATGCAAAAGATTCTATTTCCATTATAAACATCAGATCGAAAAATATTTTCTTGAAAATTCTTTACAATCTTAAAATCTTCAACATGTTTTAATTTGTATTAAAAGGTATTTACTATTCAAAATTTCACACATGTAATCCATTAAGGATAGATTAGTGTTTTATTAGCAAATGAGTACAATTTTTTTTATTGTGAAAATATGAAAGTAGTACATATATATTTTATTTAATTAATCACGCCTAATGTTTTTAAATCAAAATGTGCGAGTCTCAAAAACATTTAATTTTTTAATTTCAATTCTGTCTAATTATGGAAAACTGTACTCATAAGAATATTTGATATATTTTACACCAATTCAACTTCAATCACAAATAATTTATGAATTAATAATTAATTTTCTTATATACAATTTAATAGATTCTTCATAGACTTTCCAATTTTAATTTTGTTTATTATTCTATATCGTGATTTATTTGCTATTTTTGAATACATACTCAAATTCAAGTCAAATTAGTATCGAAGGAGCATCCACACAAAAATAATGGCATTAAAGAATCTTGAAATTAATGAAATCCCTGCATTCATACTCAAAGGTATGCTAGACGTAAACACCAAATAATTTTACAATTTTATTGGAGAATTAACAAGTTAGTGATGACATTTATGATAAATAGATGAGAAATATTTTTGACTAGGTTTGGAATACTTTTTTGGTAATTAATGCTTTTTCAACAAAGTTATATGATTTTTGAAGAAATAAATAGTTTCTTCTGGTAATATGGCATTTTTTAATCTAATTTTCCAAACTTATAATTTAAGTATTTTTCTCAAGATTCATAAATTTTTTGAATTTTTTTTAAACAAAATTACTTCATCATACCAAAAATGTTTTAAATATTTTGTGAGATTCAAAAACAATTTTTATATGACTTTGAAAATTGCCGTTGGAAATTTTATTTTAAATTATTTTCATTTCAAGTTTGAAACTTTGCACTATGGGCCAGAAATGGAAAATTTTTCCAAAAATTATTTCTACAGCTTATATGATAGTTCTTATTATGCCCTACATTTACGTCCTTAAAACTTTGCTCAAGTCGACAGCATGTCCGAGATATGGCACTTCAAAGTTGGTCAGACGACCATTTTCACGTTACATTGAAAATGCTCTCACCAGATACTGGATAGATGAATCTCCTTCAAATTTTTTTTGTTAATAGCTTTAAATAGTTACTTTGTTTTAAGATATAAACAATTGCAAATAACTTTGAAAAATTTTGTGAAAAACTAGATTTTTCTCAAAAACTACGTGTTCGTCATACTTTCGTTTGTGTAGGTCTTCACAAGCACAACCAAAGTTACTAATTTCTTTTTTATATTAAAGATTATATCAAAAGCTATAACTTTTGCATACATGTCGTATAATTTTAACAAAGTTTTGATAGTGAAAAAAAATTTTTTTATAAAAAAAACACCAATTTTTTGACAAAAATCGCTGTAGTGCTTCAGGGATACCCATGGTAGTGGAATTTTATTTCACATTTAGAAAGCTCTCTAAATATGCTATCAATTAATGCAATAAAATGAACAAGTGTTCTCTTGGCAAAGAGCACTTTTTTGACTCTGAAAGTCGTATGTCGAGCAAGGTCAAAAAAGAAAAATAATCATAAATATTTCAGTTTTAAATAAAATTTAATTTTTTTAATTTAGATTGATAGATCTTTTTAAAACGCGTCTTTTGAGTATAAATATGTCATAGTTTTGTCAAGTTTCATGATCATTTTTTTAAAAAAATAGTTTTTTTCAAAAAAAAAATTGAAAAATAAAGTATTTGACTTTAGAATTTCATAAAATGCATCTTTTTGTCATTTTTTTCACTACTTTGTCTAGTTTTGCTCCTAGTTTTTTTCCTAAACATAAATCAATAAGAACTTAGCATAATTGAAGCCATTTGGAGGTTAAATTGAGTTAAAAATCGTTTAAAATTTTTGTATTTCTTAAATAGTTCTTTACACAAGTATCTAAGATATAAAGTGTTGCATAGTTTTGAAAAGGTATTGAAATTTCCAATATGTTAACATGAAAAGTTTAGGAAAATTTTCAAGTAATATAGTCAATTTGGGTAAAAAACGCATTTTATATATGCTAGTTTTTAATGTTTTTCGTTTTTCTCAGCAAAGACTTTATGAAAAACTCTCAAAGTTTGCACACTTATTTGTTATATAAATGTTAATGACTCGTAAAAGTTTTGGAATTTTCCATTGAGTTTTTCATTAGTTTTCCTAATCTGAAATTTTCACTATTAAATTTTCGTTTTTCTCAACAATTGCGATTTTTTATTTATAAATAAATATCTTATTTTGTTTCATTTTTCAATATCTTTTCATTGATATGTAACAATCTACAAAAAAATTAAGACTAAAGAGAAATGAATAAAAAAGTGTCAAAAATGTATGAAAATTCTACGCTATTTTAATTTTTTAAGCCTTTTATGGTTAATTTTACTAAGTTTTATAAGAGTGTTATACCTTTTTTTGCAAATGTATAGCTTAAGACGTTCATCCACCAAAATTCGTATGAGTCTACGCTAAGCACAACTGAAGTCAAATAAGCTTCACGTTGGCGACAAAAGACAGTTCCATATGAAGAAAACCAGATATTAGTTTTAATGCTATTTAAGCTATAATATTAAGCTTTTTCATTTACTTTTGTTATAAATGTTTCATGTATTTAATAGCAGCCTGAAAATATAATTTAAAGCTTTTAAATAATTTAATTTTAATAAATTCAAAATTTTTGGTTGTCGCCAACTTGAAGCTTATTTGACTTCAGTTGTGCTTAGCGTAGACTCATACGAATTTTGGTGGATGAACGTCTTAAGCTATACATTTGCAAAAAAAGGTATAACACTCTTATAAAACTTAGTAAAATTAACCATAAAAGGCTTAAAAAATTAAAATAGCGTAGAATTTTCATACATTTTTGACACTTTTTTATTCATTTCTCTTTAGTCTTAATTTTTTTGTAGATTGTTACATATCAATGAAAAGATATTGAAAAATGAAACAAAATAAGATATTTATTTATAAATAAAAAATCGCAATTGTTGAGAAAAACGAAAATTTAATAGTGAAAATTTCAGATTAGGAAAACTAATGAAAAACTCAATGGAAAATTCCAAAACTTTTACGAGTCATTAACATTTATATAACAAATAAGTGTGCAAACTTTGAGAGTTTTTCATAAAGTCTTTGCTGAGAAAAACGAAAAACATTAAAAACTAGCATATATAAAATGCGTTTTTTACCCAAATTGACTATATTACTTGAAAATTTTCCTAAACTTTTCATGTTAACATATTGGAAATTTCAATACCTTTTCAAAACTATGCAACACTTTATATCTTAGATACTTGTGTAAAGAACTATTTGAGAAATACAAAAATTTTAAACGATTTTTAACTCAATTTAACCTCCAAATGGCTTCAATTATGCTAAGTTCTTATTGATTTATGTTTAGGAAAAAAACTAGGAGCAAAACTAGACAAAGTAGTGAAAAAAATGACAAAAAGATGCATTTTATAAAATTCTAAAGTCAAATACTTTATTTTTCAATTTTTTTTTTGAAAAAAACTATTTTTTTAAAAAAATGATCACGAAACTTGACAAAACTATAACATATTTATACTCAAAAGACGCGTTTTAAAAAGATCTATCAATCTAAATTAAAAAAATTAAATTTTATTTAAAACTGAAATTTTTATGATTATTTTTCTTTTTTGACCTTGCTCGACATACGACTTTCAGAGTCAAAAAAGTGCTCTTTGCCAAGAGAACACTTGTTCATTTTATTGCATTAATTGATGGCATATCTAGAGAGCTTTCTAAATGTGAAATAAAATTCCACTACCATGGGTATCCCTGAAGCACTACAGCGATTTTTGTCAAAAAATTGTTGTTTTTTTTATAAAAAATTTTTTTTTCACTATCAAAACTTTGTTAAAATTATACGACATGTATGCAAAAGTTATAGCTTTTGATATAATCTTTAATATAAAAAAGAAATTAGTAACTTTGGTTGTGCTTGTGAAGACCTACACAAACGAAAGTATGACGAACACGTGGTTTTTGAGAAAAATCTAGTTTTTCACAAAATTTTTCAAAGTTATTTGCAATTGTTTATATCTTAAAACAAAGTAACTATTTAAAGCTATTAACAAAAAAAATTTGAAGGAGATTCATCTATCCAGTATCTGGTGAGAGCATTTTCAATGTAACGTGAAAATGGTCGTCTGACCAACTTTGAAGTGCCATATCTCGGACATGCTGTCGACTTGAGCAAAGTTTTAAGGACGTAAATGTAGGGCATAATAAGAACTATCATATAAGCTGTAGAAATAATTTTTGGAAAAATTTTCCATTTCTGGCCCATAGTGCTTTGTTATAACTATTTCCTCTTCTTGGAAAATTTATGAGCATTTGGTCGAATACTTTTAAAAGCTATATTTGGCTTACTGTAAACATTGTTTTTTGATTAATTCACAATAGTAATTGTGTTTTTAATAGGGTTCGCCAAATTGACATGCGCATGCATGCACATGCAAAAATATATACGCATGTATGCGCAACACGCACGTAACATGCGCATGTATATCTGAGAAAAAAAATTGAAACTTCTAATTTTTGCTGGATTCGTTTCAATATGTCTCAATAATGATTATTTGGTCTTTTTAAGCAGTTTTAAAGCGAATTTCAACATTTTTATCATATTTTTTTATGAAATTTATGATAAACATGATAAAAGGAATAAAATTAAATAAAAGAATTATTTTTGTAAAATTTGTTTTAAAAAATTTACATGCAGTCCATGCGCATGCATTCGCATGTAGGCGAACCCTAGTTTTTAAAAATTTCAAAAAGTTATTCTCATGTCCAACTATAGTATTTACATCTAGCAGGTTTTTTTTTATAGAAAAAATTAAATGAACTGGTCGTGCTATGTGCTCCTTCATATTAATATTGTTTATGTTGAATGTTTAGCTTCAAATATTTCCACTACTCACAAGTGTTTTAAACACAAACTTTTGTGCTTCCCATAAATGAAGCTCCGTTCCGCAAATGACAACGAGAAGTATAACAAAACACGAATACTGCATGACCTTCAAAAAATCCCAAAGTTTATCACAGAAAATGCTTAACAAAAGTAGATGAAGAAGTGCATGGACATTGACAATTCTCCACATCCACGCTACAATAAAAAACCATGTAGACTGTTTGGATAAAAGAAAATTAAAAAAATACGATTAACTTGGAATTATGAGTATATTGATTGAGGCTTACCTTCATAGCATAATTTTGTCTTGCAAATTGTCCAGCAGTAACGTCATTTTTCTCTAGAATATCTTGATAATATGCAATATACCGATTCCATGCTGTCGAACTGAGAAGTAAAGCCGCAGAAAAATATCCTACTTTTCTGGCAACCTTTTTAGTTGTCACTTTAACTTTATAAACCACACCGGACTCTGATGATTTTGAATCATTGACTGGAATGATTGATTGGAGTTGTGTATAACCGCGTCTTGGAGGCTAAAAGATAAGTTTTATAAACAAAATTTTAAATTTTAAAATAATTTTAACTCACATTATTTTTTAAGAAGCAAAACACACCAATCATGAGTGCAATGCATCCTAATCCATCACAAATTCCATCAACATAATAGCCCATTGTTCCGATTTCACTTCTTTCTCCTCGAATATGTCTTTTTGCTCTTGCTACATGTCCATCTAAATCGTCTAGGAAAGTCCTTATTTGAAAAAATACTACACCAATTCGTCTTATCGACAAACTATCACTTGCAATCATCCGTCCAGCAAGAATTGCAACAAAAACATGGAAAAATGATATCATGTTTGGTGTAATCACATCATGTTTGCTAAATCCAACAAGATCGTCGAATAATGTTGCTATTGGTGCAAAGATATAGTGATTTGTATGGTCCAACATCAGAGCTTTGACAGTTATATCGCATAGTGGATTTATATGACAATTTATCCATGTGACATCACTATAATTTACTACTGATATTGTTTCCGTTGAAGATGGTAGAGTTAGCGAATAAGATGTATTAATATGGACACTCCGTTCAATAGGATAGTTTTGTATGCGAAGATACAGATTTACATCAAGGTAAATATAAAAGAATATCAAGAGTATTAAGAGTGTGAGAAGTAGTTTACTGATCGATGAACTTGGACCAATCATTTTTTTATAATGTTAAACTAATACTTTTGTGTCTTTGAGATTTAAATTCAATATTGTTGATGTTATGTTTTGCAGTACAAAATCAGTCATACTAATTCATGACTATTTTTTGTCTAACTTTGTATCTGTCTTAATATTCAAGGGCACAGTTGCTTGTTTGACTTGTTAAAATTCAAATTTGTTCTTTGTAAAAAAAATTGTGATGTTTAAATTACTCTAGAATTTAAAAAAAAATAATGAATTATATTTTTGATATTTGGTTGATAAGAATCTATATTAGCAAAAATGTATTATTTGAACTTTTTATAAGTAATAGATTTGAAATAACATTAAAAGTTTGTTTTAAAAAACAAAAACAAAATATTTCCTCTTTAAATGTTCAATTAATTTTTATATATTTGAATCCTTTTTTGAATTCTAAATCAATTTCTACTAATTTAATAAATTTGATTTCAAGTAACTTAATTTAATAAATCAATAAAGATAGAAATGTCAAGAGTTCTTGCTTAACTTACTTGTGTTTTTAAATTTTTATCGCTTATCCAAATTGCGTATTGACAATTCATTCAGAAACACAGTGTTATGTTTATTTTGAAATTCCTTTAGATAACATTTTAATTATCTTATATATAACATGGAGAAATGGCACAATTGTTTTTTGCGCTTTTTATTTTTTAAAACTATTATTTTTTTTCTGTTTAAATCAATTTATTTCCTTTTAAACTCTTTATTTCAAATATGATTTATTTATATTTGTCGATGATTTGTAAATAGAATTTGTTTAAATAAATGGCCATATAGATTTTTCTTTAATATCAGTTCAATAAAAATATATAAATTGTTTTCATTCTAAGAATGGAAAAAAGTATTCTTCGTTATTTGTGCGAGTGTCGACTATTAACAAGATGAAGATAGCAAACGAATTGAGGCGATTAAAAACGCGCTTTAGCTGTTTATCGAGTGCATGAACTTTTAATTTTAAAAGTTGACAAAATTATTTTATATCATTAAACATCCTACAATGTTATTATTATAAACAAAATTTTTTTAACTTAGTAAATTTATTTTTATTTTTATTTATTTAACCAAATAAGCAACAAAAAAATTTTGAACTTTTAATATTCGGAAGGATAAAAAAACCGTTTATAGTTTGACGCATGGATTTTAAATTTAAATCAGTGAACTTTCCGACTTGTTTGTCATTTGCCTGTAGCTCAATTTAAAAATTCCTACTCCCTAGACAGCGTTAGTCGACGAAGAGTAGAACATTAAATGAGCAACTCATCATCGCGACGTAAAAAGAAAAAAGAGTTGTAAAAATTTTTATTACTAATTTTTGTTGTCTTAAAAATTGATTTATTTAACTAAAATGTGAAAAAATTTAAGTTCGCGAATTTCTGAAGTCTATTAATGTGTTATAGAAGTGGAAAATTGCAAACATAACGAGTTATAGTAAAAAGAATAAAAGTGAGAAAAAGAGAAGAAAATTTTTCAAAACAAAAACAATTTTTTGTGAGAAAAATAAGGAAAAAATTTAACGATATTCAGTCAATGGTAATGAAAAAAATGTAATTTTTAAATTAAATTAATAAACAAAAAATTCATATTATTAAAATAATCACCTTCCCGTCATTTAAAATCACATGAGGAGGATTATTTTTGTTCATTCGATGAAAATATTTTTCCACGCGCCGCACGCTTCATGAAATTTTTGTAAATTTTTATGCCTACAAACAACAAATTTTAAAAATAAAATGCTTTATTTTTGCATTTAATACGTTAAAAAAAGTGAAAAAGTGGCAAAATTTGACTAAAAATGCTCAAAAATAACAAAAAATGATAAAAATGACATAGAGAGACACACATTTTACAACAACAAATGCCAGCCCCATTTTTTATTTTCTTTCGTCGCGCTCTTTCCATTTCACTTACACATTCCAAGCGCGATTCAAAAGAGAACAGATAGAGAGAAAGGGAAAGAGCGAAAGAGACAGAGAGAAGAATAGAAGAAAAAAGTTGTAAACAACGACGTAAAATTTACGAGTGTCTAATAATTTGTGTATGCGTCACTAAAATTACAATATAGAATACAAACGCACACACTTATAGAAGTCAAGTGAGTAAGGCATTATACTAGACAACGATGAAAGACTATGAGTGAGATAGTGCAAATTATAGCAATAACAAAAGAATGTATTTCACCACAATGTGTAGATTTTCTCGATGAAAATATAGGAAATATATACTATGTACCCTTGAGAATTTTATGGTCAAATAATTTCTTTTTGCTTTTGTATAACGTAACTAATTGAAAAAACATTTTATTTTCTTCTTTATTCTGTTTTGTGTTGTGTCGAAAAAAAAATACCCAAAGTTTATTGGTGACTTAAAAAAATCTTAAGAAAAAAATTAAAGGTTTGATAAATAAAGAATGCATTGATAAAACCTAATCAAATTTTACAGCACATGAGAGAAACAATTATAAAGTAAAATTTCAATTTTTTTTATCAATGGAATTTAAAAAGAAAAACAACAAAACAACAACAACGTCAAAAGTATTTTTCATTCATAAAACCTCGGGAATGGAATGTCGGATTTTTTTTCACTTTACTACTATAATATGTTCAGAAGAAGAATGAATATATGTATATGTTGTATGTATGATTTTTATTTCTTCAATAGTATTGGTTTAAAGCGCGGCAAAGAAATTTCTATTTTTACATACGTTCATTGAACCTGCGCTTGTGTGCGAAACGCAGACGAAACTTTCACATATATAAATATATACGAAGAAGAATTCAAAATGAAAATTAATTTGGGTGTTGTTGTTTTTACTGCAGCCACATGATGTATATTATACGTTAAAATTATTTGACTGCAGATTTTTTCCTGCTTCTTTTTTTTGATTCACTTTGAATTTAAGCAAAGAATAATTCGCGTGTGCATTTGCTGATTAAAACAAATTATATATTCAGAGCAAAGATCTAGTATGTATTAATGGGCATTAAACTTTTTAAATCAAAAATAAAGTCATGTACAAAAAAAATATGCTATTTGTTCAATTTTTCTTAAAATTGCTTTTTCATCACTCAGATAAGCACTGCGGTTAAATACTGTGTTGACTTCTGTAATATATTAGTCACTCATTTAATATATCAATTACTTTTCTTCACTTACTGTAAAATAAATATGTATTACGATGTAATAAACCCGAATAGACAAATTTAATAATAATCAAATTTAGTGCTGAGCATGCTCGCGTGAGCGTGCTCTTTCATACGAAAAGTTATGCCACTACTTTACGCTAATGAGCACGCTTTTTGAGCATGCTCTGAGCACGTTATTTTAACAAATTTTGAGCATGCTCAAATTGTTGTGTGACATGCAAAATTTTTTATGTCATATGATGTGACATTTGAGTATACTCAGTGAGTGTACTCTGAGCATGCTCACTGAGTGTACTCATATTATTCAATAATTTTCAAAAAAATAATATTTAAATTAATATTTAATAATTTTTTTGATATTTTTTGCTGTTGTAAGGTTTTTTAATGTTCTAGAATAAATTTTGTTCATTAATAATCTGAAAAAGACACTTAAGAAAATTTTTGGATTTTGTCTGGATTTGAACTCACGACCGCTCTATTACTAAGGCCATTACCGTAACCATTACATCACTGCTGCAATTTATCTATACAATTCTTTATGGCAATAACTCATATATAAACTATAAAAAAGTTAAATACTTCGAAATTGATCTCAAAATGTTTTTTTAACAATGGTTATAGATTAAAAGGGGATAATTATATATAATTCTTGAAACTTTGACTTGTGAAGTATATAAAAAATCATGAGCATACTCAGAGTATGCTCAATATATGTGCTCTTGAGCACGCTCATTAAAATGTGAAATCTTAAAAAAAATATTTTTTGAGTACATTCACAATGTGCTCACGAGTATGCTTAAGAGTGTACTCAAGTGAGCATGCTTAAATTTGGTAATTGAGTATGCTCATGAGCATGCTCAATAAAATGAAAAATTTAAATAAATTGATTTTTTTGTGAGCATATTCACAATGTGCTCACAAGCATGTTCAACTGAATGTGCTCAGATGAGCACGTTAAATGATGATTTTGAGCATGCTCATTAACGTGCTCACAAAAGTGAGCACGCTCTTTGTCTATTCGGGAAATATGTACCAAAATTGTAAATAATGTAAAACATTTGAGGAACTGATTTTTTTTAAAGATATTACGGACTAAGAATTACTGAGTATTATTTAACTGAATTCTTATCAAAATGATTAAAAATTTACACGACATCAGCATAACGTAGATTATCAACAACTTCAGTCTTTGGCGCTCTGTTATTGAAATATTGCGTCCAATTATTTATTTCCATGTTTTTAATTTACACGAAAAATATTCTTGTGAAACAACCCAAAATGGTCAGTTTTACAAAACAAAACTAGTTTATTCCACGGAAAATAATGTCAAATTTTACAATAGACTAAACGTTTATTTTTAAAACTAATTTTTTTGTGCTCACTTTTTTTTCTCTTCATCACTTAGTTCCAAAAGAGGAAAAATAGAACTATCGTCACACAAAATACGTCATTTACTCATGTGCTTAATACTGATCACACATTTCTTATTATTGAATAAGTCAATTTATACAGTCAGACATAAAAAATATATCCAGTGATAACATAAGGATTAAAATACTGTTTTGTAAATTATTTTAACTTAAAAGTATTGTTTGATACTTCTTATTGAAAAAGGAATATTATAAAAACTTTAATATTGACCGATATCAACATTAAAAGTGGATAAAATTAATTAAATTGAAATTTTTTGCGATTAATCTTATTGATCAAAAAGGTTGAGCTATAGCTTATTGAAATTATTGCTTACTTACTTTAAAAAACTGTCATAACCTATAATAACAAAAAATTATTGTTTTTCAAAGAAAATATTCAACAAATGTGACTGCGATGTAATAATTTTAATTAAATTTTCAAGTTGAATTTCACAATTAATTCACAATGATTCAGATTTGAAAAAAATGCTCAAAAATTCAAAATTATCATATTAATTAAACTTTATCTTTTGAATGCCAGATTAAAGATCTCAACTTGAGGCATATCCTATGAAAATATCTTGTCCTAATTTGATGTCTAACTCCAGAAATCTTTATTTTATTCTCACCAAAAATTTGTTCACAATTTGAATATGAAAAAAGAATCTTTGATTTTCTCTACTTTAGGTTGTTATTTCGATAACCTGCTAGCTTTTTCTAGCTAAGTTAAGCTTAGATTTGCTTATTAAATCTACCAAATCAACAGAAAACTGCTTATTAAGTATTAAAAATGCAATTGAAATCTGAGTATTTTTTACAAAACTTAAACTTTTTATAAGTTAAAAGGTCTTGCCAAGGCCTCTCTAAAACCTATATAAATCAATAGAACAAGCTTAAACCTATCCTCCATATTAATATTGATTAATATGGGCATGCCGTTTGAAATTTAACATATATATTTAAAAGTATGGAGGGGGAGGGTATGGTATAAGGGAGGCTATGGATCTCAATTGATCTGTAAAGCCAGCGATGTATGTTTGTATGTATGTATGTATTTAAAAGTATGTAAATGATTTATCAATTACTAAATGTTGTCAAATAACTTTATTGATATTCACAAAATTGAAGTCTGATTTGTGATAAAGACAATTTAGTTGTCTCCACAAAGCCATGTCGGAAGAATCAGGTGGCATTTAAAACCGGCAGATCAAAAGTTTACAAAAACAAAAAAACAAATATTTTTCAATCTTGCTTTCCTTACATTGTGAATGGTGTGAAAATTGTAATGTGATCCTCAGCTGAAATATAAATTAAATGTTTGTAAGACACTGCACTAATGATATAAGCACAATATTGTGTGTAATATCTGCGTATTATATTATTAAAAAAGTACAAAGTAAACTTATTTAAGTTTGTGTAATACATAAATTAAATAATAACAACTTCATAATATTTAAATAATTAAATACACTTTTGATTATGTACACATAAAAATGTCTCATTCACGCACACATACAGGCATATTGTGTCTCAGTAGTGATCTTCTATTCGTTCTCCTTCTCTCGCACACAGAAAATTTTCTCACTAGAACATTTTGTTTTCTTATTATTGCGACGTAAATTTTTTTTCTTCCTTTCCTTATTTCAAGCTCTCTTTTTTTATATATCAAATCGTAAGTGAGGATGATAAGTACAAAAAAATCAAAACAAATAATAAATTTGCCATTAAAGATTAAAAAAATAGTAGTAATAGATATTTTAAGAAGTGATAATGTTCCAAGAAGTGATTAATGAAAGAATTATATCAGGAAATACTGTTTTAGTGGAGTGCATTTTGAAAAAAAAGTAATGACCTTAAAAATTCAATTTATTTTTTAAGAAAAAAATCTTTCAATCGTCCCAAAAAAAAAAAAACAGAAATGAAAATTGTGCTACGAGACGGTTGCAGATCAAATTCAATTAAAATCTGAATACAGCGTGGGCTGCAAATGGTCATTCTCGAGATTTTTTTTGTGCCGTTCTCCCTTCAATATCAATAAATTTAATCAAATTTCTTCAATTGATTGATATGATTCTGAGTTTTCTGAATTTTAATTGCTATAGAGACATGTACAGAATATGATTTATAAATACTGTTTACCAGCATATTGCGTAGAAACCAACCTTACATCCAGATTTTAAAATCATCATCAACTTATCATCGATTTTTATTAGTATGATGTAGTTTGATTTTGAACTCTACAACAGTTGTAATTATTTTTTAAGCATGGCTAAAATTGCTTGCTACGATTTTCTCGGTCATACCTCAATCAATTCAAAATCTACTATATGCTGAAGACGTAAAAATTAAAGAAAAAAACTTTTTAGTATGAACATATTTGGCTATTTTGCTTAATTTTCTCACAATTAGCGAAAATATATTTCCGAATCAAAACATAATATATGCATCCAAAAGTGATTACGGTGTGAATAATTAAACCAAACTTTTATTTACTTATTGTAATTTTCCATTCCTTTCACTACGAAGACAATTGAAGAACGCAAGCTATAAATGCGTTTTAATTATTACGAGGACGTAAAACTTTGTCTATTACTTACAAGAAATATAAATACAAAGATTCTATTTTTAAAATCTTGTTTTTGTTATTTCAAAATCTATCTCTACACAAAACTAAATGTATATAGACATATAAAAATCATCGTGTAGAGCCATTTTCACTTCGGATGAAAAATTTAAGTATAATAATTTGCTCGGACAAACAACAACCCTTAATATGTCATAAATTTTTCTTCAAAACGAACACGAAGAAATCTAAGATCATGATCTCATATCGCAAATTACGCTACTCACAAAAACAATCTCTAATATCGACAAATTGATTGTACTAAAGTTGTTGAATGTTTTGAGCGCATCATCACATGTGTGCCTTATTTAAACGTATTTAGAAAACTTATGTTAAAATGACACATTTAACGAAATAAAATTTAAAAAATATATGAATTCTCAATTACAAATTTATCATACAAAACACCGAAATGAACAAATTGTTGTCTCTCGATTTTCAATTTAATGAGAAACATTTGAAATATATATTCACTTGTCGCTCAATTATTTTTTTCGAGTTGAACTTATTTTTTTTTCATTTTTCATTTTGTTCTACAGGAGATCGGGAGATCGAATAAGTCTCTACAAAAGCTGAGAATATTGAAACATATTTCAACGTTCGTTTAACGCCTCTTCTTATGATAATTGCTATACATGAATTATCGGAAAAATAAAATAAGGATAGTAAAAATTTAGTGATAAAAATGAGTTTCAAAAGATAGTGAAATTCTTGAATGAATAAACAAACCGAAAAGGTTAAATGATGATGGAAAATTTTAAAGAAAGTAATCAGTTTTGGCTTAAAAAAAATAAAAATTGTTACATTAAATAAAGTCTAGATTACAAAAAGAACGAAAAATCTTAAGAAATAAGAAAAGTGAAGCATTAAAATCATTAAAATAAAGGAATAAAATACAAAACAAAACAAAAAATTAAAATGTCATCAGCCATCAATAATCACGACTACACATCGTATCATCTACCACGTGGATATTTTAAGAGAAGAAAACCACCAGATTATAATGATGATGAAGACAATGAAAATTCAACATGTCCACCATCATTATATAAAAAAAATAGTTATAGCATAAGATGTAGATTTAGTGATATGGGGCATGCAAATAAGAATTTTCTTCTATTGTGCACATTATTAACGTTAAATTTAATAATATTGATGAATGGTGTCGCTGGTGATGATCGATTAAAGCGAGCTATTGAGGAAGAAATGCTTTCAACACCAATTCCTCCAGCATTGCCAAACGATGGAAGTAAGTACAAATTTACAATTATATTTATTTTGCGTCCTTTTATGAAACCGATACGATTATTTAATTGACAATGTAAATTGCATTGAATTTTATTTAAATAATATGGCTTAAAACTGTTTGGTTGAAGGATTTGACAGCTTAACAAAATTTAAAATATTTTTTAATGAAGTATTTGATTAAATCAAAATAATTATATTTGGTTCTATTAGTTTCGAAATTTAATTTAAAATCTATTGAAATTGATGTTGGAGAACAAAAAAGTTCAAGATATTTGACATGAAACATGATATATTAAAACGAGAAACAATGTCAGTATAATTTACTCCAACAAATGGAATCAGTTAAAAAGCATATTTTGCATTTTTTAAAACTTTTTACGAGTTCAAATTTTGTTAATATTTTGATTTTCAAATTTTTAAAATTATTAAAACTTCAAAAAACGTTATTTTTGAAGAGCATTAGAAAGGTCGCAATATACTTAAACAAATTCTAAGTGCTTTTATTTTTTTTTAAGATATTAAAAATTGTTGAAAACATTTTAAATCTTTATACGTTATGAGCCATTCTTAAGACGTTACATTAATTTTTAAAATTGAAAAAATATTATTTACGATTTTTCTTTTAATTGTTCACAAAACTTGGTTTAATTATATTGCGATGCATAATGTGCATTTATAAACAATATGATTACTATTAATAGTAGCTGGTGTTTATTTTGCTCCGCCTCTTAAATGTTATCTCATGATATGCATTTCAATGATTTTCAGTTTTGTATTAGCTAATATTAACTGATTTTAAATACTTATCAATGAAAAATCGTATGTTTAAATAAAAAATCAAATCTGTAGTGTTAAATATGATTATTATTCTTTTTAAATAAGTTTTTTGGGCTTCCTTGGGAATTAAACAGATAAAAAGTTTTTAAGTCGCACACCTGGACCCAAAAGTTGTTCATTTTTTATCTAATTTAACTAATAACTGAACTTCAATATCAAATAAAATTTATTTCTTCTTAGAAAATGAATTTCACTTAAAGTAGTGTTGATCAGTAAATAAAACGATAATTACTAAATCAGTTGTTTTTTGTTGTAATAAATTACAAATATTTTGATGAGTGTGACTTTTTCTTGAGAAAAACAATGCAATGCAAATTAAGGGGATGAAGACATTGCAAAATTTTAATTTTGAATAAAGTCTGTTAAAAATGGAATTGATTGGACACGAATTGTTGAAGCCTAGCTAGTATTTTTTAACAGAAAAAGTTTAACAATTAGTCATTGGAATGGAGTTGAAAGGACTTTTACGTTTTAAAGTATTTACCCTGAACACTCTTAACCCCTTCTCCCCATCTGAAACCTTAACTGTTTAAAGTATCAAAAAAAAATTTATTTTTATTTATTTATGCATTTTTAACAGTTTGTACGTATTATCTTATTTCTTTATACTTCTAGTTTGTAAATCTATCGATGCGAGATTCGATTTAGTGAAAATTCATGCGTTAGCAGGATGTCGAGTTGTAGAGGGATCTGTCACAATACTTCTTATGGATGAAATTACAACAAAAGATGTCGCCAGTATAACGTTTCCCGATCTTGTCGAAATTACCGGTTATCTTATGCTCTATCGAATCGGAGGTTTTACAAGTCTAGATCAACTATTTCCCAATTTGGCCGTAATTAGGGGAAAAGATTTGTTTAAGGACTATGCGCTTATTATTTATGAGATGCTGGATTTATCGGAAATTGGTCTTAAAAATTTGTTGGAGGTCGAGAGAGGAAATGTGAGGATTGAGAAAAATGAGCAAATGTGTTTCACGCATACAATTCACTGGAAAAAAATTATTTCAATGTATGCCGAACCTTATCTCGAGGTAATATTTAATTCCTTATAGATTTAAAAGATGTGCTGCAGTGTTTATTTGATTTTTGTAAATTTATAGAAAAATAAGTTACCGTCTCACTGTGCAAATTGTCCATCTGAAAATTGCCAAAAGTCTCTTGATGGAAAGACGACATATTGCTGGAGTGTAAATCATTGTCAGCGATTATGTACTAACTGCGTAACAAGTAATTCTTGTTCACCAAACGGTACATGTTGTGATAAAAACTGTATTGGAGGATGTAAAGATGGACATCCATCACAATGTATTGCATGCAAAAAGTTTTCATTGGGAAAATATCCGGATATCAAGTGTGTGGATTCGTGTCCTAACGGCACATATGCTGTAAGTCCATAATTTTGTTTCAATTGATTTTGTTCAAAAAAATTTTTTTTTGTAATTTAAGTATCTTGAACGACGTTGCTTGTCTAAAGATGAATGCTACGAATTGAATACATCGAATCCTACAGACAGCAGTGTTTCCAGTCCTGAGCATCCCTTTATTCCATTCGATGGTAGATGTATTCGTGAATGCCCACCAAGATATACAAAAAATGGAACTGGAAAAGAAATGACATGTAAACTTTGTAACGAGACATGCCTAAAAAGATGTGTTGTCAAAACAATTGTTGATTCTATCGAAACAGCTCAAGCTCTAAAAGGATGTTCAATTATTGATGGACCACTAGAAATTCAAATTCGTGGTACCGCTAAGAATCCAGAATCAGGGAAAAATATCGTGAAAGAACTTGAAGCATCACTATCAGACATAGTGGAAATTAATGAATATCTTAAAATTGCTCGCTCTCATCCAATTTTGTCAATGTCATTTTTGAAGAATTTGAAAAAGATACATGGAAAACGTTTAGAAGGAGGCAGAAATGCTCTCGTCGTATGGGAAAATCATAATCTACAAGAACTCTGGGATGAATCACAAAAAATTGAAATTCTAAAAGGAAAATTATTTTTCCACTTTAATCCAAAACTTTGTTTCTATAAAATTGAACAACTCGCCAATAAGAGTGTAACACCAAATACAAATCTTTCAACAATTATTGAAAATTATGACACAGCGAAAATATCAAATGGCGATAAAACACCATGCAACGTCACACCACTAAATGTCACTGTAGAGCATATATACCCGCAAGCTGCACTTCTATCATGGGATCCGTTAAAGGTAAGCAATAAAATTAAATAACATCAAATATTTTCAAGGTATTTTCATATCATATTTTTTTATTTCATGAACACACTAAAGTTAGAGGATGAAAGATCTTTACTGAATTATGTCGTGTTTTATATCGCAGCCCCATATACTAATGTTACACTATGGGATGGACGCGATGCATGTGGAAATGATGGATGGAGTGTAGAGGATGTAAATGACTTTTCTCATAGTGAAAAAATATCTCAACCACTAACGAAACTAGAACCATACACACAATATGCATATTACGTTAAAGCATATACACTTGCTACAGAGAAGACTGGAGCACAAAGTGAAATTAATTATTTTACAACAAAGCCTGATATGCCTGATCTTGTGAAAAAGTTTAAGGCGACACCACTTGGACCTGATCGTATTGAAGTTACATGGGAGACATTGAAAAAAGTTAATGGTCGTTTGAAAAATTATGTATTGAGAGCAAAAGCAGTCGATCAAAATGAAAACTTAAGATTCCAACGAGACTATTGTAAAGAACGTAAGTATTCCAAAATGACTACTATCCTATCATCAATTTTTTAATACCAATAATTTAATTACAGCTCTTGATACTTCTGTAAATCCTCAAACACAATCAAAAGATACTAATAAAGATACACCAAAATTACCATCATTAATTGCACCAGATGGAACGTGTGATTGTAAAGCTTGTTCATTAAAATGCGACAAGCAAACACCACATAATATTGAAGATCGCCAGTCAGCAAATGATTTTGAGGATCAAATTCAAGATTTTGTTTATGTTCGTCATCAGGATAATGGATTTGAATCATTCCCTAAAGATCGGGCAAAGAGACAAGTCAATGATGAATTTCCTGAAAAGTTAGCAGAACCGACTCCTTCACATACTGATCCTGATACTTTAAGAAACGCAAGCGATTTTTTCGATGATGAAATATCGTACAATGAGGTATCATACGAGATTAAAGGCCTTAAACATTATACAACTTATGCAATTAGCATTCGTGCATGTCGGGATCAAGAAGTTGATGAAATTAAAACACCAGAATCACATGCTTGCGGACATGAAGTCAATTATTATGCAACCACATTTAGGGAACCGTCAAATGATGACATTCCTGGTTTTACTACAGATATCTTACCAAATGCATCAACGACTGATGTTCTTGTTAAATGGGAATCGCCTAAAGATCCTAATGGCCTTCTTTTAACATACACAATTCGATATAAACGTGTTGATATTGATCACACCGTTTCTCAAACAAGATGCGTTTCATACAATATGTTAAATAATAGTAATGTTTTCATAATTCGAGCATTAACAGCTGGTAACTATTCTATCGATGTTATGGCTACATCGCTAGGTGGTAATGGAAATTATACGAAGGCAAAGTACGTCCTAATTAAAGAACATGGAACATTTAATATGTGGTATATTGTTGGAGGACTAGCTTTGGTGTTTGTCGTATGTCTTGTTGTTCTGTTCTACTTCTTTAAACGTATGTACATAACTTCAATATCAAGCATGAAAATCATTGCTACTGTTAATCCGGACTATGCGGGTGTAACATATCGTCAAGACGAATGGGAAATTCCACGTGATCAAATTATTCAATTGCAAGAATTAGGATGCGGAAGTTTCGGTAAGTTTTACTTTTTTTTAATAATTTGTGGACAAAAAAAATAAAAATTTTTTACAATTATTTTAGGTATGGTTTATGAGGGCATAATAAAAGATTTCAAAATGACTGGCGAAGAGGTGAGATGTGCAATTAAGACAGTCAATGAAAGTGCAACAGACAAAGAACGAATTAGTTTTCTCAATGAAGCATCGGTGATGAAACAATTTGATACTACTCATGTTGTCCATTTACTTGGTGTTGTTTCCCAAGGCCAGCCAATATTTGTCATTATGGAGCTGATGGCAAATGGTGATTTAAAAGGTTATTTGCGCTCACATAGACCAGAGTATGATAACGGAACTGAACCGCCTCCTCAACCACCGACGTTGAGAAGGATATTACAAATGGCAATTGAAATTGCCGATGGAATGGCATACTTGTCTGCTAAGAAGTTTGTACATAGAGATTTAGCAGCAAGAAATTGCATGGTTGCAGAAGATCTGACCGTAAAAATTGGAGACTTTGGCATGACCAGAGATATTTATGAGACAGATTATTACAGGTAAGTTTCATAAAACATTATATAAGAAAAAATAGATTTAATAATAAAATTTCTATTAAAATTTATAGGAAAGGCACAAAAGGTCTTCTACCAGTTAGGTGGATGGCTCCAGAAAGCTTAAAAGATGGCGTATTTACATCAAGTAGTGATGTATTTAGCTATGGCGTTGTGGTTTGGGAAATGGCAACGTTAGCATCGCAACCATATCAGGTATGTTTATTAAGGTTTATAAATTATGTGCATAAATAAATTAATTTATTAAAATATTTTAGGGACTGTCAAACGATCAAGTATTACGATATGTCATAGAAGGTGGTGTTATGGAACGTCCAGAGAATTGTCCAGACAAACTTTATGAACTGATGAGACGTTGTTGGCAGCACCGACCTTCAGGAAGGCCATCATTTATGGAAATTATCTCAATGCTTCTGGAAGATGTAGGCCCCAGTTTTCAGACTGTAAGCTTTTTTCATACGCCTATAGGCCAAGATGTTTGGCATCAACTGAATCAAGGTGAATTAGCAGTTCTTGTAACTGATGATGTTACAACACCATTGCGGCAAGATGAGGAAGAGACTTCAAGTATTGATGGTAACCACTTCTTAATGGAGGAAGTGAACAGTAATCATCATCGACTTGATGATCTTTAATTTCCACTTTTAAATTTTTAAATATTTTTTTATCTCGCTTAAACGCCGAAAATATGACGGAGAAGATAATATAAAATTTATAATTGATATGTGTGAGAAGCAAAATTTATATTTCGGAAAAATTGAAAAAAAAAATCATAACGTTTTTGTATACAAAAAATCCTTTTTTGAAAAAAAAAATCAAACAGTGCACAATCGTCAAAAAATTTCATGGGAAAGGAATGTTTATAATGAAAATATATAGTTAGTTTAATATCTTTTTCTAGCCTTTCAATACTTTAGCTGAAATTTTTTTGTTCTTTTCTGTTTGCTTTATTCAATGATAACTTTTACAAGGGATAAAATTGATTGAGATCGATTGATTGAGATTAAATAGACGAGAAAAGATCTTGAAATTTCATTAACTTTATCAGTTTTATGATTTAATTCATCCGTAATTTTCAAATCATTTCAGACAAAAAGTTTAATTATTATTTTATCATCAAAAAATCAGGCTAATCATAATAAACAGAATACTATTATCATTTTCTCAATCGATTGATCTCATAGCAATGAAACAATCTTAATAACTTGTTTTTACTTTAATAATATTTCAATAGAAATTAGATCAAATTTTTTAAAAAATAATTCTTTTTTGTTGTTTTTAATATATTAATGTAAATGAAGTGTATGATGTAGAAAGACGGATAAAAATGATGCGAGTGTCAAATGTTGATGCCGCTAATTTGTTAATAACGCCAATAGCACTTAAATAGAATTTAAAAGAAATTACACAAAAAGCCCACCTAATTTAAAATAGAGTTTAATTGAACAAAGAATGAATCATTTTAGTCAATAGATATTAATAATTGAAACATATCATCACACATTAATTTACAATACTAATCTACCATCTAATTGATGAAAAATTAATTTACCCAAAATTGTATCTTGCGGTTAAGAGAGCGAAAATTGGTTTTTCATCAATTAGAAACCATATAATTGGACAGACTGCTTTAAAATATTTTTCTTTATGTTCTGTGACATAAACTTTGACACTCCACATTAATACTGAATATTCTTATTTGAGATATTTTTACTTCAATTTTTATTTAATATTTTTTTATTTTATTTCTAATGGAATAGCGAAAATTTTATGTGAAATGTTGAAGCTGGGAAAGAGAAATTAAGTGAAAAATTAAATTTTCTCTTATTATTGGGGTGCGATTAATTTGTAGTTACAATAAGTCTTTCGAAATGAATTCATAATCTCTAACAGAAAATTTTCTAAAACAAAGCTCTGCAACATTTTTTTGGTTTCCTACTGATATGTAATCTCTGTCATGAAATTGTTTAAATTCAAAAGAAAAGTTAATTACTCCGACTGGTGCATCTGACTATAATAATCTCATATAGTAGTTTATACTGCTAAATTTCCATATAGTAAATACTATAAACATTTTAAATTCATAGAGATAAGAGATTATAGACAAATGAATGATTATGGCGAAATTCATTGCCTGAGAGACACAAAATAGGTAAAGGTCGCCAAATAGATTCTTAATGGAACCTTAGTGTCACTCTAGTTGAAAAGATATTTTAAAAAACTACAAAGCAACGCATGTCCCTAAAATGCTAATTTCAAATAAGAATTTTATTTCAGTTGAACAAAATATCTTATCGATTAAAGAAGTAAAAAAAGAGAAATCATAATAAATGTAATGTATTGGAATTAAATATTCTTAATCGGAATGTTATAAAAATTGGATGATGCAAAAAGCTAGATTTAGAAAATTTTAAAGTAATTCTTTGAAGATGCTTCAATATGCTTTTGTATAAGAAGTTTTCTTCAAATATTCTAAAAAATTATCTTAAAGTTTCTAAGTGTAGGCTAAAAAGGCATCAGTTTGAGATAAATTAGTTGAAATTTTTTGCATAGCACTGTTGTTTAGTTTTAATTATAAAAGTTTTTCGAATGAGTTTCAAAAAACAAAAAAAAAACTGATAAGAAAAACATCAACGGATAATGCAAGAAAAATTACCATAAGATTAGTTTTATACATAAATTGCGTGTGCTAACATTCGAAAGTAAATTTAAAAAAAAATGAGGAAAAAAATTATGAAAAAATATTATTCACAATTTATTTTTTGCACAAAAACAAGAAGGAAAAAAAGATGTAAAGAATATACTTTCTAATAGATGTGACTGAGTTTCCCTTCCTAGTAAAAATAAACAAAATGAGAAAAAGTTAAAATACATACATTCAGTTCAAATCAAAATCCATTTTTAGTATTGAATTTTATCTTTATCTTTAATTTAAACGAAAAAAAGCTTTAATAAATCAGAAAAAATGACAAACGAAAAAATTGACTTTTATTCAATTCTTAATTTAAAAAAAAATAAAGAAGTTAAACTAAAATAAAATGAAATTTCATAATAATGATAATAAAATAAATGCTTTATTTTTCTTGTTATTTATTCACACTTTATTAAAAAATTAAACTTTAACATTCCACCACGTTTTAATATTTATCAACTGTATGATTGTTTTATGGATTCAGTTTTAAGTTCCAAAAATGAAACTCCTCACAATCTTGATAACATTCCGCCAGCAGCAGCTATAGTCTCTCCCGTCATATAACTAGCATCGTCTGAAGCTAAAAATGCAACTACTCCAGCAATTTCATCAACTTTGCCTAATCTTTTCATTGGTATCATTTGAATGGTTGTTTCTTTTGCAGTTTCAGATTCATATAATGCCGATGAAAATTTCGTTTCGATCACACCTGGAGCTACACAGTTTACCCTGATATTGTCATTAACAACTTCTAAAGCCAAAGCTTTAGTTAATCCGAACAATGCAGTTTTTGATACAGAGTATGCTCCTAATAAATCAAAAGGTTGATATCCTCCAATGGAACTTACAAAGATTATTGATCCTCCATTACTGTCTTGAAGAAATGGTTTAACTTCCTTTGAGAGTAAATAAGCAGCCTTTACATTAATATCAAATATTTTATCCCATGCTTTTTCTGATGTTTCTGTGACTGATCCAACTTCAGGATTAACAGCTGCATTGCTTACTAAACAATCTATCCTTCCAAATGTTTCAATAGCTGTTTGAAACAATCTTTTGCGGTCTTCAGAATTTCCAACGTGACATGATGTTCCAATAACATCTTTGACTCCATGACTTTTTAAAGCTTCAACGGCATTGTCTACGCTTTTTTGTTTTCTCGAACTAACAACAATTTTACCTCCTTCAGATCCAAGCCTCTTTGCAATAGCAAATCCTATTCCTTCTGTTGAAGCTGTTACAACACAAACTTTTCCATCCAAACGCCTTCCTATGTTTTTTGACATCGCTGAAAGTGATCGTTTAAACATTCCAATAATAATACAAACTTGAACTTTACACCTGAGAAAAGAATTAAAGCATTATCAACAATAAAAATGTGTTGCCTGATTTTTTCAATACGTCATAAAATATTGAAAATAATTTTGTCGTTATGAAAAATAGTCAAGTATAAAATATTAAGAACTGTGAAATAAAGCTTGAAAACACCAACACGCTTACCTCTACTCCACTGGTACATTTTATTTCATTAATGTTGTTTGGCAAAAACTTAAATATAAACGATCAAAATATTGTCATGAACTGGTATTAACAAAGAATAGTTCAAACTTCAAAGTGATTAAAAGTCTTAAGTTAGTAAGTAAATAAAGACGTGCTCAGAGCATACTTAAGAGTTCAACTTAGGTGAACATGATGTAATTTGTGATACTTATCACAAATATGTCCTCTGAATATGCTATAGAGTGCACTCAAATAGTATACTCATAAGAGCATACTATTTTAAAAATGTCGCTGTATATAAAAATACTCACAATGTACTCAAGAGCAAACTCAATAAGTATACTCGAGAGAGTACATCATTGAATACATCATAATCACGAGAGTATAGAGTCAATCTATACTTCATATTGCTGTTCATAGAGCACACTCTGTGTTTACTGTCAGTGTTTACTCAAAACGTACTCAGTTTAGGACATTACGTTCTTGCATTCATAGTGTGCTCAAGAGAGTATACAGACTAAGCAAATAAATTTAAATATAATAAATAATAATAAATTTTTGTTGGAATAGAATTATTTAACAAATATTATTTTGCAACAGAAATTTTTAGGAATGGATTTTTTGGAAAATATTTCTTTTTAATTTATTTTTTTTTTGTTGTCCAACGTTTTGTGAAAAAATGGATTTAAACACTTTTTTGCGCATTTTAGAAAACTTCTTTTGGAAAAGGGAGTTTGATATTGCACTTTGTTCAGTTTAATAAAATCAGACTGACTTATTCTAATGTTCTAGGTTCAAAATAACGTTTTTATATTAAAATTAATTAAACTTGAATTACCACCAATAAACCAGTAGCAAAGAAAGCTTAAATCAGAGGAGCAAACAAAATTGATTCTTTTTAAGCTAAGATAATTATCGTATATGCACAATACATTGCTGATAATCAGCAATCACCTCAAAAATAGTCCTTTTCAGGACTACAAAATCTCATTCGAAAAAGAAAAACAAACTTTTAATTGCAGTTTTACCTTAACCTTTAATTTAATAAATAAAGAATCTGTGATATTTGTGTCTATAGTAAGCATTACTTTCAAAGGGAGAACAAAAAATCTTAATTTCAATCGACATGCGTTTTTCGTGGCATTTTACATGACGCCATTTTAAAATACGTAGCGTCATTTCGTTATCATTCTCAATAGAAAGTTTTTAAAACAAGTATCAAAATTATAAAGACTTTCTTAGCAATACTTGAAAAATTCAATTCTACAAGGAATCTTAATTTTTTTAAAACTATAGCTTAAAGTTCTTAATAATTAGTCGACTGTATTTTTCAACTAATTCATTCAAAATTTCAATTTCAACTAAAATTTAACTAATGAAGCCGATATTTCAATGATAACTGAGATGATTTCTTTCGATTATAAAAAATGTGGATATTATATTCAACAAACTGAGATCATAAAATTGATTTAAAATTTTCTTCTTTTCATGTTAATAATTTTGGTGGTCTTGAAAAAGACCGTTCAAATGAAAAAGTTTTATGATTGATGATGAAGTAATTTATGCACGTTCTTATTAGCTAATTCAACCAGATTTGGTCAATAAAATATACAGTCTTTAAGTACTAATTACAACGGCTTTTTTCCTTTTAAAAAGTATAAGTGTCAGTATGGAAAATGTACAATTTTGTACAAAGAAAGAAATGTAAAATCAGACTTACGCCACCTTATATTCGAAAAAATTCGAAATGTCTTCGAAATTAATGTCGAAAACTTCGAAATTTGAGACGAAATTTTGAATTTTTATTGACCGTTAAGAAAAATGTAAACAAATCAAAAAATTTAAAATCAAAATCTATGATTTAAGCTTCTTTTAACAATGATTTACCTAAATTAACATAATCTTAATTATGTTTCATCACTATTAAATAGTTCACATTAGAAAAAAGAGCTTCAATTAACAATTAATTAACAAATTTATAATTCGTGAAAAAATTCACTAACACATTTACAACTTTTGTTTACTTTTGATATTTTTGTTCTGAAAATTTTTAAAATCACCAATTCTTGCATTTACTTAAGCATTTTCAGTTCAAAAACATTAAAAATATGTCAAAGATTATTTATTTTAAAGAGCTAAACAGTTAAAAGCTTCGAATTATGTTGAATAAAGTTTTTTTCCAACGGTTAAAAATGATTCAAAATATTTAAAAAAAAATGGTAAAACTTCTGTAACTGACAATTTTTAACGTGACGTTAGTCTGTGTAAAATAATCTAGTCTCTTCAATAAAGAATGACATTGTCAGCATTATGCAGCAGCTATTATAATGGGACATGATTTGTTAAATAGATGACAGTTCTAATGTTCATGAAGAAGACTATTTTGCAGCTGTTTTAATATTATTTTCTGCAGAAATCAGAATAATAAATTACTTGATGTATCAATTGAATTCTGTCAAACTGCTCAATTTCAGCCACATATAGTTAAGAGAGAATGCCTACCAAAATATCAATTGAGAATCAAAAAGGCACCAGAAAACACACTCAAGTTATCAAAGTCAATAAATGATCTAAAAAGATCAAATTAATGAGATTTGAAACCAAAAGATTCTGTAAGGAACGAAAGAAAAAAGCATTCCTTATACGAACTAAGCATTGATATTGATGACTCCATTATATGATTTAATTATCCATTCCAAAAATAATTCTTGAAAGAATTAACAAACAACATGTTGTCGTTAAAACTGCATCATATAGAAATCAAAATGATAGTAATGCCACTATTAAAACTATCATGTTGATGAGTTCACCACATTTTCAGAAGGAGAAGAAGACCAGAGGTATTTCCGACATCGATAACTGAAAAACAATTATGTTCAAATTAAATACTTTACAATAGAGGGTAAATGTTAAATGGGCATATCCTTTTAGTAATGAGCAGATAAAAAAGATTCAATAAATTTTTTGAAATCAACTAATATTGAGGCGATGGATCTGTTACCTTAAAAACCTTTTATGTTACAGAATCCTCAGAATGTGAGAACTTTAGATTAAATAATTATCAAGTTCTTAAAACTGTATGACTTAGTGATTGTTGAGAATCTCATTAAATCTTTTTTGAATAAGAATCGTGATCTTCATGCTTTACGGATTATGAATAATGCCTAAACCTGTTTGTGTGCTTCTTTTTAATACAATTCGAGTTACTTGGAATGTATAAATCTTCAAAATAGTTCGATTGTCATCATTACTTCCATTAGAAATAGCTTATTAAGGTATCACAAATGTCAAAACATCACAACTTTCTGCGTTATAACCACAAATAGTAATTTTATGAAGCGAACAATTTAAATTTCATCACAGATAAACTCTGATTTTTTTTGATCATGAAAAATTCATAAGCCGAAAAAATAGAATTTAATTTGCAAATGTGAAAACTTCATGAAATTTTCTTCATCAAAAAAAACCTAGCAGTCTCTGAAAAAAAAATTTCACTTTAAAATTTGAAAAAAATTAAATGAATCACACCAATTAATTAATACGGCTTGAAACTGGATATGCAGAACTAAATATGGAACAGAGATTGTGAACGATGTGTTCTTCTATTGACAAACGGGCCAGATATATGTTATAAATCACGGAAAACTCTAATGGTATGTCATAAATTAGTTAAAATGTTGATCTTTAACTCAATAGCTTACTTCACATTCAGCAATAGAACAAATGAAAGGAAAGTCAAAGGAAAGGCAGAGAAAAGAGAAACACAAAGTCAAATTTAATGATTATTCGACAAATAATTGTTTGATAATCGCAGTATTTTTCAAATTATGCTGTACGACTTGGATTTTGGCCAATTTTTACTGAATTTGAAGTAGTTCAAGGAAATTGGATGTCCATTATGAAAATAAATAGCAAGATGTCAATAACGAATTTGATAAAAGAATTATTGCTAAAGAAAGATAAAAGAACGATGGGATTAGGAGCAATTAGAATACCTGTAGATGGATATTAGATATGCATTTATCATCGTCTTAGACAAAGAACATACAATGAATTACTAAGTGATATTGATTCAACATGTAAAGTAGAGGAGCTGTTGAACGTAGTACAAGCTGAAAGCAGAGATCTGAGAAATCGGGACAATTTTTAACCTTAAAAATCGAATCAAGAAGCCCATCTGCTAAAAGTTCCTTTCAAACCACCAGGTATTCGAGGCATAGCAAGATCGCTTACCAAAAACGAAATATGGAAACAAAGTTGTGAAGCTCAACAAATTTTTGATAAAAAGAGCAGTAGCATCTGTGCCCATCAAACCCAAAGATATCACGGACATCGACCAAGCATGGCAACATTGCAGAAAGAATGATGTTCTAAAAAGAACACATGCTGATTCAAAAGCCAATCATCATTGATCCCTGAAAGTGCTGGTGATGAAACTGGTTTTGTGTTCAACTTCAGACGTAAGTCTTGTCATTTTTTAATTATGGATATGTTCATTTCTAGCATAGTGCACTTAAATAATGCACTGTGTTCATCTGAGATACTTTTTGTTTCAATTTTGATTAAATGAAGCTCATCCAATGATCCTTGGTTGATATTTATGAGCATTGTAGTATTTGCTCACTTGTTGAAACCTTAGTCATCTCATCTGAATTGCATCTATTCATTCTCGGAATTAAATTTTCTATTGCTTTTTACTAACCAGAACTACTGAAACAAAAGAAATAAGTCACAATATTCTTATATTTAAAAGAGGGATTCGTTACCTCAACAAATTTTAAAAACTCTATTCTTTTATAAACTACATAACAGTTTCAACATTACTTTGTTCCTATTACTGCCTTCTATAATTCGTTTTTAAATTTCATTAATTTCAAAGCTAGGGCACATGTAA